ACATCAACACAACAGCACATCACAGTATAAAATTACAGCATAAATTTAACTTTAACAAACCACAGATAACAGGCACAAAACAAAAAAAAAAAATAGGAAATTACTTGAAGCAATATACATCACAGAAAAACAATAGAACAACAGTCAACTACAAAACAGACACTAAACATTTAATAACTCATTATACGGACATATTAAACAAAATTAAAATTTAATTGAAGTGCAATTACTGATACTTAAAATAAACATTAACAATAATAGTATAAAAATAGTCAGATAAAACAGTCATATCCAAAAGTCAATTTTTCACTATGGCAGACACCCAATTATTGGTCAAAAGCAGGATGTTGCTCTAGATGATACATTTTATAACATGAATCAGAAATTTGACGATGGAGCACATAATTATTAATTTTAAGATAATTACAAATTTATTGTAACTACAAAATTCAAATATGTAATGTAACAAGCACAATATTATTACTCAAACAATTTTTTAGCCTTGCATCCAGAAGATAATTGGGATTGCAGTTCCAAAGATGGGTATAGATATTTATTCCCATCTTTGTTATCATCTTTGTATCATTTTTATCATCTTTGTTATCATCTTTGTCAACGTTACATGTTAACTTGTTAACGAATAATTTATGAATTTTTTTTAAATAGAACTTAGCTTAGTACAGCTTCTTAAAAGTCATCTTTAAATGGTTTTAACGATAGCAAACTCCATTTTTTATATAAATTTTAAAATAATAAAATAAATTAATAAAACTGTTATTTTATTTAAACAAAGCGGTATGGCTTGAAGTTTCCCTATACTATATATATCTTCGAATACCATATCAAAGTTTTACAAGGGAGAACAAATACAATCATAGAAGAAAAGCATTTTGTTAATTTGATATCCATTATTGTGTTAACTCTAAGGCCTATTACGTTAGTTAGCATTAAAGGCCTTTCAAGAAAATTAGGGGGTTCTAATTATGGCAAGTGAGTTAGGAAATGGACGCCTTATTGGCTCCTGGGGTCTCTCCTCTTTATTGGAGTCCTGGTCTGCATCTTATAATTGATTCATAAATTTTATTTAAAAAGAAGAGAGCAAAAAAAAAATTATCTCAAGTAGATTCACCATAGCTTCCTCCCTATCTTTATAGGTTACATAATTGCTTATATTTATGGTCTAAAATTTGTAACACAAAATGGGACAGTGATGGTTGAAACGTTGTATTTTAAAATTATAATATAAATAAAAACTATGGTGATCAAATAGCCTAATTGATTGTGAAAATAATTTATAAATTAAATGAAGATGGTTTTGGCATGATTAGTCAAAATAAAAAATAGTAAAAATAAATAATCATGTTTGTTTTTATATTTGCCTACGTTTCAACCCCAAGTTCAGGCCTTCATCAGTGCTAAAAAAAAATTGTTTGTGCTAAAGATTGTTTTTTTTCTTAACCCTAATGAAGGCCTGAACTTCTTGGCCTACATCGACCAATATGTGACAAAAGTAACCATCATATTTAAGAAGAGCGATCGTCGCTAATGGCTATGGCAGACGAAATAACGTTAAAAAAAACAAACAAAAAATTAAAATAACATTTATAATTCGGAAAAAAAATGTAAATAGTAAATTTTAAAGTATATATTCGAAACTTCGGAATCCTTATTTTGTATAACTTTTAAAAATTTGAATTCATTAGTGTATTTGCAATTTAGAACACAATTCAATTATGTGTATATATATATATATATATATATATATATATATATATATATATATATATATATATATATATATATATATATATATATACATAATTGAATTGTGTTCTAAATTGCGAATACACTAATATAATATATATATATAATAAATATAATATATATTATATATATAATATATAATATAATATATAATATATAACACTAATATAATATATATATATATATATATATATATATATATATATATATATATATATATATTATACTCAATCTAATATCAATAAGTAAATGTACAATTTCGAAAAAAAAAAAAAGAGGAAGAGAGAGTGTGAGAGAGAGTGTGTGTGTGAGAGAGAGAGAGAGAGAGAGAGAGAGAGAGAGAGAGAGAGAGGGTGAGAGAGAGTGAGAGAAATGGGGGGGGAGTGAGAGGAGTAGAGAGAGGGAAGAACAAATAATAATAATAAAAAGGGGAAAATTTTAGCTCTAACGATCGAAAATAATTGAAACTATTAAGCATTGAAGAGGGACCATCAAGTGATCGCCTCAACGAGAGCACTTTAAAATAATTGTCCGATTGGAGAATAAAGCACTCACTTTGTCTGGGATATATTCTATAAATTTTACAACATTAAAATTTTACAATGACCCGTAGTTATGGAGGATAATAATCATTTAAAAGCATGTTATATTCTATAAATATACCATACAATTAATAATTGCTCTCAATCATCTTCTTAATTATTTTATATGTATATAAGGCTTACAGTTTAATGAGATGTGTAAAAGTATACTTATAATTTCAAAGAAAGGATGAATTATTCAAGAAACCAACAATATTTATGTAGGAGAAATGAGCAGCATGTTTGACTTTAGAATCTAGACAATCCTTGATCATCCTTAACCAATGGTTAACTTAACTATGGATGACAAAGGTTTAACGATTCTAGTTAATCTTAACCCTTAATCATTCATCTTATTTTGTATTTTCTCAATTTCAAGTTCGGACCCGTCAAAACTGTCGGTACTCATTAGAAATTATCTATATCCACATAAGAGATGATATACATATATTATTGCAGTAACCATACATATTCATATATTATAATAATAAAACATATACATATATCGACGTCACATCTGTGTCCCGGAGGTAAATGACACTATTTCCAATTTTGTTATTAAATATTTTAGTATCTATGAAACAAATGTTAATAGCTAAAATTTTGGAAAATTGCCTCCCTGAACAAATATATAATGTGACATGGTATTCATTACCTCCAGAGTACAGATTTAGAAAATATTAAATCAATTTTGATAGCTCAAAGTTGTGGAAAGTTGTATCCCCTAAACAAATACAAAAAATTGAAATGGTCGTACCTCCGGAGTAAAAATATGTAAGTCTGTATGTATGTATATGTATCTAAAATATATGCTAAGACAAGTTCTGACAGATACCAACGGTTGTGGAAAGTTCCGAATACGCGGAACATAAAATTGTGAAAATACAAAATAGGATCAGAGATTAGGATTAATCAAAATGGTTAAGATTATGTCGGTAAGATTAAAACATATATATTATTTTTATAATATATTAATATATATCGTTACGACTATAAACATTGACACTACTATATATGTATCATCGCTAATAATAAAGGTTTTTGGTAAGAATTAATTAGCCTAGAGTTGATCTAGTCCTAGCTTTAACCTAAGTTATACAAATACTTAATTATTCCGAAACTGAAATATTTATTCTTCCTTTTGAATCACGAAATGAACTGGTATTCGGTTATTCTTTAACTAACCATAGCCCGTTAAAATATTATTTCGATATTTATGGTATCGTGAGAGAATGCTTGGTAAAGATCTTAGCATAATTTTTGGCTCAATAAAATAATATTTTTTAATTAGAATCAATCATTCTTCAAACATTTCAATTCATACTTATTAGTTTATTTTTCAGAAATACACAAAATATGAAATATTTATATACGTTCAAATGGATCGTTTTATTCACTATTCGGTTCTCGTCAACCCCTTCCGATATCAGTCAACCCTCCCCGCTTTTAAATTTCGTCTATCCAATCACATAATATTCATCCATTCACTAAAATATTGTAAACAGATGTTTCTGTTAATACGTACCTATATAAATTATTGGTTTAAGTTTTTAAAGTTTATTAAGCCTTAAAATGTATTATTATTTTCATTAGTTTATTTTTTATTTAACTATGAGCGTGTAAATTTCATATTTTTTTCTGTATTTTATTTAAAAGGGACTTCCTAAATTAATAAAGAATATATTATTATTATTTATGAAAATAGTGAAGGTTTTGATAATATTAATAAAATAGGAATACTTTTCAGCAAGTTGATAAAGAGACGTATTTAGGGTTGAAGATAAATAGGAAAATTTTGAAAATACTTTATTATCATATATTATATTACGTCATTCTATTATTATTCGATGATATATTATTTTATTAAGCTTTGGTATAGTGTTTCGGGATTGGTTAATTTTCATTTTTTTTTTTTAATTTCACATTAACAAGGTTACACTATGAAATATCTAATCGTTCGCCATTTAGAAAAATAAAGTTAGATGATAATGTCGATTTCCTAATTCATAATGGAGTGGTCGGTGACATTAGATCCAAAAAATAAAAAATAAAATAACTAAAATATTATAAAATAGGTCCAAAATTAGTTATGGTTTAATTTAATATTTCTTTAGGAATATAATTATTAACAAATAATTTTAATTGAGTTGAATAAATTTGTCCCTTTATTCCCCTCGCCTAAGGAAAGGAGTAGAGCGGAACATTTCATGTTTAATTGCAATTAATTCTGTAAAAAGTAACTTCACAGACCCCAGTTTCAATTAGCCATTCTCCTACCTGTGTTTCCTTTTTTTAATTTAATTTTTTTTAAACATATTTATTATTAATTGAGCCACAAATTAAAAAAGAATTGTGCTGCTCTGTCTGCTAAGGCCTGAGTCAGACTAACGACATTGCTCATGTAAGCATTTACATTAATGTTCCTATATATTCAGAATCATAAATTTTAAAAATTGTTTACAAGGCAATTCCTATTATCTTTATATTCATATTTTTTTCTTCATTAATTATTAAGTTAGTTAAAAACAAATAGAGCTTTCTTTTACCATACAACAAATACAGTTCAGTAATAGTAGTTTGCCAGACCAAGACTAAGACGGATTGTTCTTTACGAACATTATACTAAATAAGAAATATATCATTATTAATTTCCAGGTTTACCTCGTCGGACACATGGCTCCTGGTGCAGACGAAAGGACGCCAGACGCGATACCCCAGTTCCACGAGAAGTTCGCCAGACAGTACATCAAGTTGGTCCGCAGGTTCTCCAACATCATCGTTGGGCAGTTCTTCGGCCACCTACACTCTGATACCTTCAGGGTCATCTACGATGAGATGGGAGGTAAACAATTTTGAGCATGATAGAACCTTGTGCCCCGTCATAATCTGTGTATCATAATATTGGCTTAGCGAACCCAAAGATTCGATGCCAAAACCTCCAACAAATATCCATCCACCAACCGCTGTACAAACACAACCCCACTACCTCAGCCTTAAAGCAATCCTCCCATCTTTGCTTCGGTCTATTCCTCGGACGTAGTGTTGCTCGAAATCAGTATGTAAGACCAAGAATAAGACCGCCTAATTGTTGCAAGAACAAGTCTGGTTCAAAAAATAATTATTAAAAATTGTGGATTGATGATGGGCTGTAGTGAATAATTGAAGAGTAGATTGGTTGGGGTTTTGTATTTATTTGTATTCTTTCAGATGTTTTGGCCCAAAATTCAGACCTTCTCTAGGGCTAAGAAAAATCCAAATAACAATGAGTGTGAGAGAAATTATAAACATTGAAAATAAAATAATATAATGTAGTTGAAAGGTATTGTCTAAAAAAACGTAAGTAGAATAAACTTAAAGGAACTATAAAATAACGATAACAATGTTAGGGATAGAAAGTAGCGGTTACTTTTATTTACTTTTATTTACCATAAGTTAGGAAATTATGAATGAAAAAAATAAAATAAATAAAATTATTTATTTTTATATTTTTTTGACTGAAAACACCAACTAATCTTCTCTTCCATAACAAAAATGTTTTTGTAATTAAAAGTTAAGGCAAAATAGTTACTTATACTAGACAATTTGAGTTACTATATGTGAAGAATCGGTAGAACCAATATATTGTTGCATTTTATTCTTCCAATTTATAGTTCTTGGTTTAGTTAAGAGTCATTATCCACTTGCTCGTTTACATTGCTTTAGATCATCAAAGAAATGGTACTCTAATGATTTTTCTGATCGGTTATAAGAAAAATTAGTCTGATTTAATTGTATTATTTTTAAATGAGCATATTTAAATTGTTTGAAATCGGTAGGAAAGTCTTGTGAGTGGGCACACCATATTTTTTATTTAAATAATTGGTGAGATTGTATATATTGTCTTTACTCTACAACTCTTCCATTCTAAGGTGGGGACCTATTCTTATCTTTCTTGAAAATGCCTTTTATGTATTACCAAGTTAATTTTATTAATTAGGCTGGGTTTTACTACGTTTATGTACCTATTATATAGCGTCTTATGAAGGTCTAAAGTGAAATTTTTAATAAATAGCAATAATTTAATATGTAAGTGCAAGACTCTTGCGAGACTCTGCACAAGACCAAGACCAAGACTAGCTTGGTCCTCCATTTAGGCAACTCTACATCGTATATTAACTTTTATGGGATTCTTTCGTCGGTAAGCCCAACAATTTAACATGCCTTTTTTATTCACCGCAATTTTATCATCTCAATTATAATAATCGTATACAGTTCACGCAATTAGGCGTTGTGTGGACAGGAACTAGAAAATTAATTTTATTTATAGGAGAGTAGAAGAATTGATATTTTTATTAATCAATTTAAAGAGGAAAATAACATATTTTTTGATACGCCTGCGCGCAAGAGATTCAACATGTATATTGAAATTCGTTTTCAAAAATGTTTATAAGATCGATGAAAATGTCGACTATCGATATTTCAAGTCCAATAGTGTGATCGTATTGGAAGTTATAGGCAATATCAAATAAATTATATTGATATTTAAGTCTTTGATATCCCATCACTAAGTCAACCTATGCTTTGTCTTGTCCTTATTTATTTCTTAAATGTTAGTTTTGTTTTCGTTTGTTTTTTGTTTTTTTACTCAATTCTAATAATTTATCATCATTAATATTAATTTAATTCTCTTTTTTTCCCTCATGAATTTTCTGTATTATTTTACTAGAAGCTATATTTCTTTGTTTTTATTACAGTTTTTATTTTTGTTATATATACATTATTATACATGGTATAACATTATATATGGTATGAATGTACCTTAAAGCTTTAATACTCAGTGCCCTTAAGTGTGATAAAATGTATTACACCTCAGAAAAATTATTAAAAAAAAAAAATTAAAATTCTTAAAATTTTGTCTCATTATATGTAAAATAAAATCAATGTATAATAAACTTTATTTCTCCATAGTTGAGATCTACAAGTAGTGTCTAAATTATATCTACATTATGACTATAATTATTGTTCACGTGACAGATTGTTATATTTCTTAATAAATAAATATTTAAAAAAATATATCTACTTTAATGACTAACCGATTTAAAAAAAGAAGATATTTTTCTTTTATTTCCTGGATTATTTTAAATTACAAAAATAACCTATAGGTTTTTGGTGATGATTGTGCAACCAATATCTGATTGGTTTTGTTCAATTTTAATAAGGAAATGGCGGTAAAATCTAATGTAAAAAAAAAATTAAAATAAATATATAAGTATCATATAAAGTGTTTTTTTTTTTCAATTACATAAGTAAACAATTTTTTAGCGTGTTTATTTTAATAGGTGTCTCATGACAAACATTCGTGAACCAACATTGTTTTTTTCCTGTATAATTAAATTAGATGCGTGAATCTGCCTGGAGCGAAATTCGGAAGAGAACAAATGACCTGAGAGCCATGAGAGAGGAGGTTCCTTAGAGGCACTTACCCCTGACTTGTAATTAACATCGGCTGTCAGTCAAGGAGGTCCCTCATCCAACTCCTTTTCAGCCCTCTGCGGCTGTTCTCTGGAATGTGGGCTATGCGGAAGTGTTGTCTGTCGGTTCCTATGTCTTTGTAATTAATCGCTAAATCGTATATATATTAACAATAATAAGAATTATGAGATGTTCATTTTAAATGTGTAATATAATAATATACAAGGTATTCCGTAAGTAGAAGTAATATTTAAATGGTTATTTGTAGACATCAAAATCTACAAAAAAAGTTCATATAAATAATTGCACAATTTCCAATAGAATAGTAAGATTTTTTTTGTTTATCCTCTTTATATCTATCTTTGTCTTGAATCCTTGCATTTTCGTTGTCTTCTGAATAGTCCTTTAACTGCTAAAAAGAATTCTAAGGTGTATTCTGCATCTTTTTTTATTTTAAGTATTTTTTTTTACATCTATAATATAATCGACCTCGAGGATCTCACCTCAGGCTTGAGTTGATCTTATCCTTTAAAGCTTACAACTAAATTAAAACACCTATGTAAGTTGTTGCCAACGTTTAGGAATTTTGGCTAGTATTAAGTTGTTGGAAAAAGGGTTTGATAATTGTTGAGACTTTTGAAAAAAAAAAATTATATTACGAAAAGTAGGAAATTTAAGATTTGTATTTTTTTAAGCGAGTCAAGTTTTTTTTGTTGAATGGTAAGCGATAACATAAAAAATATTTTATTTAAGTAACTGAACATTGCTCGATAGTAAACTAAATAAAATTTACTTTAAACGATAATAGAGTTTGTCATTCTTAAAACTATTTTCAGAGTATTATTAAGCGGACAAAAGCAGCTAAGGTCCGTTTAAAAAAAGTCATAAATTATTAGTGATTTTTTTTTTCACCTTTCACTTGTACCACAGTTACTTCACAATTATAAGAACTTCCTCTGTTTAGAAAGTTTTAAGTACATATAAATTAAGTCGAGGTTTATAAGGAAAAATTTTGAGATTCACCTCAAGTTATGTAAAGAAATTTTCTATATAGTCACCTAAAAGCACCCGTGTTCTCAGCAAAACTGAGAACAAGTAACTATTGCAAAGTTTTTTTTCTTGTTTTTTCATGATATGGGATGTATTGTAATAAACGTTATTGCCTAAAAACACGTTTTATTCATAAAAATAAAAAAATTAAAAATAAAATTTGTTCAAGATTTCTGTCATAAAAATGTATGCGTGTTTGCAAGTGAAAATGTTATTAACCCAAATATTTACGTTTCAGTGAAAATAATTAAAACCGTTAAGAGGTTTCTTTTTTTTTCAAAGTAAATTTACATTAAGTTTCTCACTGATAAATACGTATTAATTCCTATGACTGAGACCTGGGAGAAAAACGCTATCTTTGGTGTCTTCATATTTTAACTTTGTTTTCGGCACCTAATAATAATTTTAAAATATTATTTGCTATGTTCAATACATAGCAGTATTTATTGCAGATACGGGAAAAATTATTTATCAGCTGCTCAGAATGAAACTCAATATTCATTGAAAATAAATATTTCAAACGGAAGACGAATTAAGATATTCATAACCTGGAAGCTGAAAGAAACCAAGTCTAAATAGGACTGAACACCTCCAGCCATGCGTCGTGGAGGCCAAACATGTTGCTACTTAAATTTTAATTAACTACTTCAAAGGGAATCCAAGGAAAGGATGAATGAAAAGAAGAGGACCGAGAGAGCTGATGAAAAGAATCCCCTCGGCAAAGAGAGTTAGTCCGAGTTAAATATTTCCCCAACTGAGATGTCGCCAACTTTGTCTTTAATTACTTGTCCGTCCCCTTCCTGTTACCAAGATTCTTCAAGCTTGTATTAGTGAGGCTTCGTTGAGAGAAAAGAAAAATTCAACATAAGCGCTATCGTGGTCTGAAAAGATTTTTAACATTCCTTGCTAAATTAAATCGTTTTACTTATAAGAAACTTTTATACCGAGAGCACCTAAGCAACAGTCTCCGATATATCAATAACCTTATAAATCTTAACTGGTTGCGATGATTATGACGCAATTATCAATTTTTTATAAACTATTTATTTAACAAGATATTTAAAAATGTAGTACAATATCAATACAATCAACAAATATCTATTAACCCTAATGTAGGAATTATACAAAACTAAACGAAAACGAACCAATAAAAATTGAACAACTTTACGTGGTCGCAAGCAGGTGACGGTCGTAGATATGGACGAACCGCTGGCACTCCAATCCTTCTTCAGCGACTGAACTTAGGTTCAATATGAGCGCTCTTATATTTAAATCTGCAAATGGGCAGCGGTGAGCACGAGAGAAAAGTACGTCTCTTCAGAGTGGGCAGAACTGCAGTGGGCAGTGTTGAAGTTGCCAGCTCAGTGACGGACGGAGTCAGACTGTCTATTGTCAATTCTACCGCCTTAGGACATAAACCTAGCACTTGTTTATAGCTAGGGCTACAATTGATAACAATTTAGGTATAAGCTATTGACCCATTGAATATAAAGGAAATAAGCTATGGGCCTAAGAATATATATATATATATATATATATATATATATATATATATATATATATATATATATATAATTATTAATTGGTTTCGTTTTATAATACCAAAATAACAATTAACCAAATTATTATTGAACTAGCTGATGTAACCATCGTTGACGGGTGTATAATCTTACGGAGTTGAGATGGATATTGTATTATGGGGGAAGGATTAATTTCATAACATTGGGTGAGGGGGGAG